AGGGCCCTGTGTCTGTTTGATGCCATCTAGTGATCGTCTATGACAGTGTTGTCCAAACTTGGCCACTTTAAGATGAGTGGACTTCTAGTGATCTAGTCTAGACAGTGTTGCCATCTAGTGATCGTCTATGACAGTGTTGTCCAAACTTGGCCACTTTAAGATGAGTGGACTTCTAGTGATCTAGTCTAGACAGTGTTGCCATCTAGTGATCGTCTATGACAGTGTTGTCCAAACTTGGCCACTTTAAGATGAGTGGACTTCTAGTGATCTAGTCTAGACAGTGTTGCCATCTAGTGATCGTCTATGACAGTGTTGTCCAAACTTGGCCACTTTAAGATGAGTGGACTCATGCTGGCTGGGGAATTCTGGGAGTTGAAGTCCACTCATCTTAAAGTGGCCAAGTTTGGACAACACTGTCATAGACGATCACTAGATGGCAACACTGTCTAGACTAGATCTTAAAGTGGCCAAGTTTGGACAACACTGTCATAGACGATCACTAGATGGCAACACTGTCTAGACTAGATCTTAAAGTGGCCAAGTTTGGACAACACTGTCATAGACGATCACTAGATGGCAACACTGTCTAGACTAGATCTTAAAGTGGCCAAGTTTGGACAACACTGTCATAGACGATCACTAGATGGCAACACTGTCTAGACTAGATCTTAAAGTGGCCAAGTTTGGACAACACTGTCATAGACGATCACTAGATGGCAACACTGTCTAGACTAGATCTTAAAGTGGCCAAGTTTGGACAACACTGTCATAGACGATCACTAGATGGCAACACTGTCTAGACTAGATTGCTGGCTGGGGAATTCTGGGAGTTGAAGTCCACTCATCTTAAAGTGGCCAAGTTTGGACAACACTGGTCTATGATTTCAGCCAGATATGGTAACCGCAACATAAACATGCCCTGCACTAGAGGCGAGTGCCTTTTCTTGGAGCAACAGCACACTTTTCTGGGGAGGTGACTTTAAGAGATGCAGCCAGCAGGGCCAGATCATATTAGCATGCAGGTTACCCTTTTCAACATTTTTCTGCTTTACTTTTTGCGGGACGGATGGGGAATATTTAAAAGATTATGATAATATTTGAAACCTACTTTACAAATCCGAATTGGATTAATTTATATTAAAAAATAGCAAAGGCCACCCCACAGATGCTCTGCAGATTGCCTCCCAGTTGCAGCAGAGGGATGGCGAGTGGTCTGCAAATAAGCAGTTCATGGCCTCTGCCCAGCTGCGGGCCACTCTTCTCCTAGAAAGAGTAGGAATCCATAGATGGCATTTTTCCCACTAAGGGAAAGTACATGCTGGAGGGTCTTTCTTTCCAGCAATGTTTCTCCTTCACCTAAGGAATGTATTCAGCGAGCAGGCACTAATAGTGCTCAAAGAAGAAAGGGAGGACTTGTCATAGCCTATTAAGAAGGGGACAACAATCACCCACTGGCTTTCCAGCTAATTAAAGGCATCAAGGCAGGGAGGAGAGAGGCCCATTAATTTGAGAGGTCTGGATTTTCCTCCCACTGTTTCATCACTGCATGGGCCAAGCCTCTAACAGTTCTAAGTACTGTAAGGAATTGCACTTCTGCAGCCCTCATCTGGAGTGGAAGAGCCCCCTTCTAGTCCAGAAACAGAGCAAGGTAAGAAATGGCCCACATCAGAGTAAATCCACAGAAGTCATTCCATAAAGGATTTTAAACCTCTGGCCTAAGAAATGAAAATGCTTTTTTTAAGGCAAAAAGAAATACTGTGAGGTTACACCATCATCAGAAGAATATGAAACTGCTTCAGATGAAAATATATTTCAGAGTGATCCAGTTCCTTAAAAATGAGGATATTTGAAATTTAAAGGTCTATCTACTGTAGAATTAGGAGTTGTCAATAGGTCTTGAATGAAGCAAGGCACAGATGTTTAGTTTAATAAAATCTGTCTACCACTTGAAACCAGTCAGACTCTAGGCAGTTTACAGAACTTACATAGTAAAATTAGAATACAAAATCTGAATACAAATTAACTCGAAGTAAAAGGATGATATCATGGCATTATGGAAAATGATGCCACTGGGTACAATTAATCTCCAAATGCTTTCTGGAAGAGCCACGTTTTCATCTACTTCCTGAAGGCCATGAGGGGGAAGGCATTTATGCTTCAGGGGCAAGCCATTCTAGAGGAGAGGCACTGTTACAGAGGACACTCCATCAGGGCCCCTCATGCTGTACCTCCTTAGAAGGCACTCCCTTGTTGTCTGGGTAGGATGGGCAGAAACAATTGAGAGAAGGTGATCCCTAAGATACCCAGGCTATATAGGGCTTTATGGGTAGTGACCAGCACTTGAACTGCACTTAGAATCCTACTTGTAACCTGCACAGCACCATGGCAGTCCTGCATCTGGCCATTGAGCATGGATGCGGCTGAGTTCTGAACCTTTGAAGTTTCTGAGTAGTCTTCCAGGACAGCCCCATAGAGAGTGAATTGCAGTAACGTGACTGAGGCAGAATAAAGGTATGAGCAACCATCTTCAATGCATTGTGTTTCAAGTAAAGCCACAGTTGGCATACCAGATGAAACTTTGCAAAAACCCTCCAGGACCCATGAGTCTAAGAGGACCCCCAGATTGTGTGATCTGTTCTTTCTGAGGAGCACAATCCCATCAAGAGCCAGAGATGGTACAGTCCTGAAATCAGTTGGCCTCTGCATTAACAGCTACTGTACCTTGCTTGGATTGAGTCTGAGCTGTTTTCCCTTACCCAAAGCCTGGCAGACTCCAGACACCAGGTTGTGACTTCCACTGCATCTCCCAAGAGGCCCAGGGTAGAGATGCATCATCTGCATATTGATGACATTTCACCCCAAACCAGCAGATGGTCTTTCCCAGCGGTTTCATGGCTGTTAAGAGCTGAGCCATAACAAAGTGGTTTTGCACTTGACCTCTTCCTCCTCTCCCCTCATGCCCTCTGGTCCAACCTGCTCAGGTAGCAATGGAACCATTGTAACATCATGTCTTCAACTGCCAACCCTTGCAAGTGGTCCAGAAGGATACTATGGTAAACAGTATCGAAAGCTGCTGATAGATCTAGGATACCATGGCAGTCATGCCAACTTGATCCAAGCACTGCCATAGGTCATCCATGACAGCAGCCAATAGTTTCATGCCCACATTTGAACCCACATTACCAAGGGTTCAGATAATCCATGTCCTCTGCAATTGAAGCCCCACCACTTTCTCAATAACCTTCCACCAAGGGTGGGTTAGATATACGATGAACATTGTCCAATTCTGTTGTATCCAGGTCCAGTCCTGAAATCTTAAGGAGCGAGAAAACCAGTGCCCTTTTAAGGACTTCCAGCATCTCTCCTTCCCTCAAAGATGCATTGAGTACAGCCTGGTACTGGGAATCCAATTCCCAGTACCATCCCTGGCCACTATCCATCCTTCCTCCCTCCCTCCCTCCCTCCCTCCCTTCCTTCCTTCCTTCCTTCCTTCCTTCCTTCCTTCCTTCCTTCCT